CAAAATCAAAACACAAAAATCATATTTCATCAAGACATGTTGGAATATGAGGTTTGTTTCATCAAGAGGCTCAAAAGTCAAATTTTACCTTGAAAGAGTTAAATTCTAAATACTTAGAATTTTTCTAAAGTATTTAAGAAAAATGAAACTTCAGAACTTCTGAACCAACCTCCAGGCAGGAGCAGTCAGAAGTTGCAAACTTGACTCAGCACATAACATTTAGTCAGAATATGGCTTTTTCAGCAGCTACGCAAGTTCAGTCAGAAGTTGCAAACTTGGCTCAACATATAACATTTAATCAGAACATGGCTTTTTCAGCAGCTACGCAAGTTCAGTCAGAGTTTTCTAGAGGAATGCAAAGAAAGCAACGAAACCTGAAAGCTCCTTCAGAACATGCTGGAATCAGAAGGTGATGGGGTCAAAAGATTGGGTGTTACACTGAAGCAGAATCTCTAAGTCCAGAGTTCAGAGGCAAATCAAAAGAACATGCTGGAAAGTTTGGAGAACCCTCAGCATTTGCTGAGGCAGCAGAATACTAAGATCAGAACTTGGGTGCGTTGTTCTAGACTTTGCTGAAGTAGGAACTGTTGGCTCAGATTTAAGTAATGATGCAAATCTCATATTACAAGATTTCTTATTCTTGACCAATCTCATCACCATTTAATGCTCATTAATGCTCAGAACCACTTTTGGGCATTTGTCCAAAGGGTCTCTCCACGTGCAGCATAACCACGCTCTTGTGAAGATTTAGGTATGGGTTCATGCGCTACTTTTCGCTCATGGGTTTCACTTTTCCTTAATTCTTGCTCATGGGTTTGGAAGAGCTGGCTATACATCACGTTGACGGAACTCCCTTCGTCGACCAGAACGCGATGAACGTCAAAGTTAGCCATTTTCTCCCTAACCAGAAGAGGGGTGGTTGAGTTTAGGGCCCCTCCGGGAAATTCTTCGAGGTAGAAGGTAACCGGTTTCGATCTTCCCTTAACCCTCTCGAAGGTCACTGCTTATGGAGGGGTCGCACCAACCAGCTCATCTAACTTCCTCTTCGCAGAGTTTATGGTTATATCATTGAATCCCCCACCATTTATGACCATGATGGAGGGTAACCTTTCCCACCTACTATGCGTGATTAGAGGCTCTTCGATATCTTCGGGGACATAGAAGTCCTCCGGTCTCGTAATGGAGAATTTTGTCTGGATGGGGACCATCTCGTCTGATGGTCGGGCATCCTCTTCAATCTCCTTTGTGTCGCATGCATCTCGAAGAGGGGCACCGTCGCGCCGATATTACCTGAGTCTTCCCTCTTTGATGAGGGTCTCAATAGCATCCTCGAGATGGATACAGTCCTCGGTCAGGTGTCCATGACTTCGATGATATTGGAAGTATTTGCTCTGGTCAGCCCTTGGCTTGGCTGGAGCGGGGCGAGGACGCTTGACGCCCCCGTCCTTGAAGTCAGTGTTAGCGCACTCCTCCAAGATGCGCTCGCAGGAAGCTGTCAATGGAGTGTACTCGATAAACCACCCCGACGGTCCTCTTAGCTCGCGAGGATCTCGAGGTTTGTCATTTCTCCTCTTCTCGCTAGTTCGTCGAGGAGGGGCATAGTCTTGTTGTCGCAGATTGCTGGTTGATCCACGATTCCTGGTGTCTCGGGCTCTGTTGGCCGCTTCCCTCTCCTCATAGTACATATAGGCTTTGGCTATCTCGAGGAGGGCATCGAACGTCCGCGATGGTTCAATGCCAACAACTTTCCTGAACTCTGTGCCCGGGAGGAGTCCCCTCTCGAGAGTTATCTCTTCATATGATTGATGCAGGAGACCTGGATGGCCTCGCGGTTGAACCGGTCAATTAATTCCTTGAGGGTCTCGTCGTGCCTCTAGACGATGGCCTCGAGGGCTGCTTCAGTCTTTGGATGTCGACGTGAAGCAGTAAATGAACTGATGAACTGGTTTTTTAAATTTCTCCAAGAGGTGATTGACCCTGGGGCGAGGCTCTTGTACCAATCCATCACAGCTTTCCTCAAAGTCGTGGGGAACAATTGGAATTTGATTGGTCCCCCGATGTTATGATAGTGTAGCATTGTCTCGAACCCGTCAATATGGTCGACTGGGTCGACAATACCGTCATACTCCTTCAGGTGGGGAGGTTTCTCCATGCCCGGGGGGATGGGTGCCTCCATAATGGCTTGTGATAAGGGGTCGTCTTCGTCACTCCTATCTGGCGAGCGAGAAGGAGATCTGTTGTAGCGGTGGTTATGACGGTGACCCTGGTCGCACGGAGCGTTCCTCGGGCGGTGTGGTCGTTCGTCATTCCCCTTTTCCTGTTTTCAGTGGGTCTTTGCTCTTGACGCGAGGGGATGTGATTGCGTCTCCCCGCATCTACGGGCTGGTCCCTTTCCAACATGGGGCATCGCCCCATTGGTCGAGGAGAGGGGCTTCGGGAGGCGTCCCGCCTGCGTTTCCGCGGGGGAGATTGGGGACGTTCCTCTATCTGATGATAAGGAGGAGAGTGAGGCCTCATATGTCTTCTGGGGACTCTTCAGGAATCTTTGAGCGTTCTTAATCTTTCCCCTTAGAAAAAGATCAGGTAGTTTGTTTGATTTATCGCCGCGAACAGTGCCCTGGTCGTGGCATCTGCTCCAGCAAGGACGGGGACTTCCTGGAACTGGTTCGGTTTGTAGTTATGAGGAGGAGGCCGATCGTCCTCGAGTCGTCGGGATAGTGATGACGAACAGGCGGTTGCTCCGTCTCTATATTCTGATGGGTCGGGCACGTTGACGGTGGGGTCGGCGTTGGGGCCAGTGAGACCAGCATAGTTAATATCAGTGTTAGTGTCGGCGATGTTGTTGTTGGTGTTGGCGAAACGAACATTCAGATTGTTTTCTTCTATTTGATCAACCATGACAGTCAATTGAGTGTGATTAGATTTTGTTTTGTGAATGGAAGGCGGGGAAGCAAGTTTCCCACATACAGCGCCATTGATCGTACTTGACCAGAATGGACTGTCACAACTTGCTCTGGAAAAAAATTGAGAGTGAGGTGGAGGGTACCTGTAAGACACTCCGATGATAAAGTAAGTTCCAGAATGAGCAAGCAAGCAAGCGAGTTAGAAGTGTTCAATACCTGACCCTCTCATAAGAGAGGGTATTTATAGCCCCCAGCGCTGGGTCAAGGTCTCCTCATTAGACTGGTCAAGCAGGCCCAACATGGAGACTGTCAGGTCCTACGTGAGTAGTGGGGATCCGCACGTGATTCCCTATCTAGATGACTTCCTCCGCAAGATCAGGAGGATATGAAAGCGATCTTTCCGAGACCACGAAGACTCTGTGATACTCGGAGGCGTTGACAGTCAGTCCTACGAGGAGTATGCTCGTGAGGCGCTTCTGCTCGTCGTGGATACTCCCACTGACCGTGAGGTCATGCGATAGGACTATTATTGGTCGAGAAGAGGATTGGAGCGTGACCTCGAGGTCCTCTTGACCGGTGGTGATCTTTCTAAGGGTAACTGGATTCGTCCCCGTGCGGTGAGGCTGTCTCCTCGCGGAAAGTAGTTGTTGCCCGACGAAGTCGAGAGCAGAACTGTTCCAGCATGCTTTGGACGACATAATTTGATTGGGCCTCACATAGAGTTCGGTCAAGAGCAGGCCCAGTCCAGAATATTTATTTATAAGGGTTATTGTCCCCATTTGTAGACAACGAAAAAACGACTTATGTCTATCCCCATCAAAGGAAAATCAAATAACCAAATTAAAAGAACAAATACCCGCAAACCTTCAGTGTTTCTCAATGACAAAAAACTTATTTAGGATTCTATTCTTAATTTCTATATCGATAAAAATTGTAAGATTTATGAAAAGATTTACGGATCAAATTCTCATCTTCCATGGGATAAAAATTGTTTGAAACCCTTAGAGTTAATCCTTAATAAAAACACTGTAAAATTAAAGGTACATGACTTATTGTTTGATGATGAGAAATAGTTATAGTCATAATTGCATTTGATTTGGATGAAAAATGAGAAATTAAAATTTTTTTTAATGCTTAGAAAGTATAAAATGGCAAACTGATAAAATGAGGAAGGAAAAAAACAATAACTTGTACATACATACAGTCTTGAAGGATCCATACAAAAATGAGTTTATTGGTATTTCTGAAGTCCCTAATATATATATATATATATTAGATATAAAGAGAGAATTTCCCTAATAAATAAAAAGTCGAAAGATGTTTTTACTCTTGCACCATTTTCTTAAAAATCAATTTCGTTCGGGTAATACCGTTGTAATCCAAATGGGCGAAAAATACCGTTTTGTTTGCATTGATCAATCCAAAAATGGAAAAGAAGGTGTTTCGGAATAGGTTGAGGGATAAAAGCACTTCTCTAAAAAGTCACCACTTACCATAATTCTAACTTTTGATTTGATGGGAACCATAGTCCTAACTTAAACCACACAATTATCATCAAAATATAATATACAAAAACTTCCAATATATGTACAAGGGCTTTAAAATCTAAAAGTGCTTCTACACCATCTAAGCATGGTACAATACATGACTGACAGCAACCAACCTATAGTATTTTTGTTTGCTTTTCAACAAATACTCTTGTATTAGTTGTGACTTGTGAGATTACATTTTGCTTTTGTATTGCTTAAATTGACATGAAATGAATAATGGTTTTTGCTAGGAAACAAAAGTCCTATAAATAATGATGCATTCTCATAGGTTTATCAATCTCATTCTTGTAACTGATAATACCAAAACCAATAACTTGTTGTGTACTCTACATGTCTTTATATTGTTCCATGTTAGTGCTAACATACCACATATATCGAAACTCGGAAAGAGAATTGACTACTTCATATTCAGCCATTTAGAACCAAAAGCAAGCAAGTTCATGCTTCTTGTCCCTCCGTCGTAATAAGAATCTCTCAAGCCACGTTGGTTTTGTGTCGAAATTTCGAACAAAATTATTCTTCTCCCTTGATGAAAGAGGACAAACAAATGGTTGATCTTGTCTCGCAGTCAGAGGAATATTCCAAAGAATTGGATGTTGCTGTCCGAGCCGTGCCAATGGCTTGCTATAAGGATTTTAGTGCTTCGGTGGCAGTTGCAGGTGAATGTTCTTGTAATTTACATTCATATTTACAATCAATGATTGAAACTGAATTGTATGCAATTTGTATATAGGTTGGAGTGTCAAAGCAATTGTCAGCTGTATATTGTCTGTATATTTAGGAGGTGAAAATATCTCGATTCTAGCCGAAGGCGATGATGTTCAGACTCTTTCCAACACTAATGCTGTCGATGCTAGTTGGTCCTCTTCCAGCCTTTGAGCTCAGACTTGTTTTATAATAACCTAAACGTATATGTAAACATGTTATGATCTTGTAAATTACGAATGTTTGAGCTTTCGTGTCTGTTTTACTGCAAACAGCATTGTATAAATCACCTTGGTTAAACTATTTGCCTGTGTTTGTAAATTGTAAAATTGCAGCAGTTCATATTTCAACCACCAATTCATGTTACAACCATAAATGAACACTCATTAAAACGTGGACCAAAGGAAATGGAAAATGAAGAAGCTAGTTTTAGTATCTGCAGCTGTGATTGTGAAGTCAGCAAGTATAATAATTGCAGACAACCAACAAAACCATCATAAATTCGCCACGCTTCCTTCACATGCTTTCTTCCTTCATTTCACTAACACAATTTAATGTTCCTTCCCTAGTATCAACATATCTTGAATGTTTCACTTGCCGAAAACATACACTCTCTTCTTCCATTTTGTTCACACAACAAAGAAAGGAAAAATGAAACATGGAATTGTCCTTGTTTCGCTCATCATGAGTATGTTGCTAACAGTTACTACCTCTGTGTCCTTTAGCAGATCCATATCAGTAACCAAGCCTTCACCATTATCAACCAAGCCTTCTCCGCCATCAACCATACCTTCACCATCATCAACTAAACCTTCACCACCATCAACCATACCTTCACCGTTTGCTAACACTTCACCGCCATCAGCGAGACCTTCACCATCATCAACCATACCTTCACCGTTTGCTAAAACTTCACCACCACCGATCAAACCTTCACCATCATCAACCAAACCTTCACCATCTGCTGGTAACAACAACGGCGGTGGCAGTGGTGGTGGAAATGACAATGGTGGCTCCTTTGGATTTGGACCTGGTTTTGTCATTCCCGGTTTTGACAACACCATTCCAGGAGGAGGATACGGAGGTGGATATGGTAGTCCAAGTGGAGGGAGCTCCATAAATGGTGTTATTGGACCAAGTGTTGTCTGCAAAGACCAAGGACCTTGTTACCAGAAGAAAGTCACGTGTCCAGCAGGGTGTTTTTCATCTTTCAGTCACTCCAGCAAGGGATACAGTGGCGGCGGTGGAGGTGGTAGCTGCACCATTGATTGCAAGAAGAAATGCATTGCATATTGTTGAGGGAATCCACCATATATTGTCCCAACACCCTTTTACAACATAAATAAAATTATATTGCATGGTTGATCTGAGTTGGAACTTGCTTTTTATTTTATATATATAGTTTTTGTAATCTCTATATCTATATATGTAGTTCTGTGAAATTTTGAGACATTGCTGAGAAGAGTCTGATCTAGACTTTTCTCTTCTTTCTCTATAATAAATTATGTGAATCTTGAGTTGTATTTATCTATGAATTGTTTGAGAGTTTAATGGTCATTTTGTATTCTCTTGTTTAGTAGTATCCATCCAAATGACATACTAGTCAGAGAAACTTGAGAAAAAGCATAATATCTAGAAAATGACATGAGTTTCACTATTGAATGTTTCTACCAGCCACAGCTATGTCAAAGCCCTGCTTATAATGTACACTAACAAACCATATAAATAGGTAACATGGTAAACAAGAGAGAAACAAATGAATAAACAAAACTTCTACACAAAAATCACGCTCAGTGTAATGTTTTTCTTCATAGTATTTGTGGCTAGTAATATACAATATTGATCAAAATGAAAGTCATCCAGAAAATGATATATCATCAGAATGCAGCTCTCACTGCTCCCCTTGCAGCTGCACGTTTCATCTCAGCCGCCTTACCACTGCCGCGGAAGTACATGTATACTTGCTGTATGTCAACCAAAGAAAAAGTGAGCAGCTGTATGTTGTAAGAAAATCACGGCTTTTGAATATAGCCGCATATGATTAGAAAATTTGGAAACTTAGAAATAGTGCAACCAAACCTGAATCACCCAAATGCTGATCAGCGTTTCGAGGCAGAATAATCCAAATCCAATGAAGTAGAAAATCTACAAGCAATTGCAGAAAAATAAAATAAATGACTCAATAATTTAGAAGTTTACTCTGGTCACATTAGCAATATTTTATATAAATTTGTGTATTAACATATGTGCGACAAATATCAAAAGTACCAACTTGTGTTGCACGTATAAAATTGCTAAAATATGACAATTAAAATAGTATTCTTACCCCAATCAAAGCATGGTTGTCAAGCACATCTATGGCAGAGAGAATGCCCCTGTATCAGTGTCAGTAGACAGTGTTAACACTAGATTATAAATAAATAATAACTTCAGTCGCTTGAAGAGATGAACACAAACACATTAAATACAAAATTTTACACCACTCTTACGAACATGCCTACAGATTTGATATTATAGGACCGCTTAGATTTCAAATTAGACAAATCAGGTGAAGAGTGTTGATACAGATGCCCAAAATTTACAAATTTTCTTTTAAAGATTCATCATTTAATTTTTTTTCTTATAGAAACTTATCGTCTGCAACAAAAACGAATTTAAGTGATATCTCCTTGTCACAATAAATAACACCGAAGAAGCAATATTGGCAAGTTAAATCGAGTGCATATAGTAAGTTGTCGTACGTCAGGGATTTTCCTTTGAAAACTATAGGAGGAGCAACGGCAGCTAAAATGCAGAACCCTATGTGAAGCTGTAAGCAGAATAAAACACAAAGATGATTAGATTTCTTCAGTTTTTTGAAACATATCTCATGCACGTTAAGAGGTATAAACAATGTACCAGATAAAGCATGAAAAACCATCCAAATTTCAAAGCACTTTCTGTCCTGCAATGAAAAAGGATCATATTTAGAATTAAGAGTATCTTAAGTTATATAAAAGAAATCTCAACTTGTTGCAGTTGCATAATTTATTAGAAAAAAGAACTAAGTGCAAGTAAGCGTTGATTTTTTATACCTAAAAGCACGATATAATGGACGATACCACAGAACATATGCTCCAGGTACTCCGGCTATGAAGTAGATAATGGCCAGAAACCATATCTTTACACCTACACCAAACAAAGTAATGATCCGCGTGCAGGGATTTTGAAATGTCAGATTGTAATTTGATTTGCTAAATAGCCGAATAAAACCTTCTTTTATATATATAAGCTCACCTTCACCCTTAATCCAAGCTGCAGTAACAGCTATAACATTCCACAAAAGGCACAATACTAGTCCTGCATAATATAACTTCTAATCAGTGACCGTGATATAACATGACTCCGATACTACTCAAGAACTTCTTCTGACTAAAAAACAATACCATAATTGGTACCAAGAACAAACCCTTCCAACAAAAGAGGATTACATACCTAACAGTGTAGTAAATGCAACATATTGCAGTTTTTGAAGATGAACCGGAATTTCAGTAGCAATGTCGTGATGGATAATTGGGAAAAATGGCGGCCAATTCTTTTCCTCAAGAACAATTCCGGCTGCAAAACAAAATGTAAATGCCTATTAGAAGAATTAAGCAGAACTAAGTGCAAAATGTTCAAGTTTCAAAGTCATTTATAACATAATGCAGTACTATTCAATTTAATGTCAACACAAACAAATAAACAAACAAAAAACACCACTAACATTAATAGCAATGTAAACAATTGACTTTATAAGGGATAGATAGCCAAATAAACAACCGAATCATTCTCAACAGATATATGAACAGGAATGTTATTTACCTCGTGCAGCGGCTTCTTCTTTCCGTCTCACATCCTGCATTTGGATAAATAAATTTATTAAAAAAAATTATGTCAATTTCCAGACATTCATAGTTAAATGATGAAGAAATTGAAGACCTCTCAAACAGAAAGATGGGTATGGAAGGGGCTGAGAAGAAATGAGAAATGAAAACAGACAAGAGTATCAAAGGGACAAGTGCTCTGATCTCAGTAAATATCCAGTGAGGGAACTCTCAACCCTAAAGTGAACAGAAGGACACATAGAAGTCGCATTGTATACCTGTTCTCTTCTTTTCAAATCGGCCTCCCTGGATTGCAGTTCCTTCTCTTTCTTTTTCAAATCCTAAAGTTGAAATAAATAATAATCAGAAGGAAATAACTTGTTTGATTCTCGCAAGAATACATTGTAAATGGAAAAAACTGAGGATTTCAACAATCTCAGTTATATGCATACCGTTGATGCATCAAGAGGTATATCAACTGTTTCCCCAAAGCCGTAGTTATTATAATCGGCAGGCTCTGGCCTAAGAGGTGCAAGCCTTGAATTTGCGGCAGACGGAACACTTCCAGGATTCTGACATTTTAAAAACAATAGTATGGCATAAGGTAAGTCGAAAATGATTTACAAATTTTTTATCAGCATCTCACATGTACTATATTATATCTTACAAAAAAATGGATGTTTGATTAACAAACTCACTGTTGTGTAAAATGCACCACCGCTGTAGTTTGATTGGTTTGATGTTTTTCCTCTTACAGCTGGTTCCTGTTAGTTTAAAACAAAATTAAGGAAACATAGTAAATATGTCAGCAGGGAATAAGTTATCTTGAAGTACATACAACTGAGTTCTAAAATCCTCAATCATAAACTCTAATCACCTAAAATCAGATAGATTGTATCTTAATAAAACTATAAAAGTCCATAGTTTTCATCTCTTCATAGTGCATTAGCTTTATTAGAATTTAGATTAGATCTAACTTAGACATTACAAAACTGACTTGTAATGAGAGATGTCTTCCATTTATTTACACTTTTTCAGGCCGTATCACATTAATGCGGGACTATCAACATACACTCCTCGTGCCCAGGCCTATACATCAGTAGCATGACTTAGTGGTCCGATAGCATATATTCCAACGGATCTTGGATAAGGTCTAATATGATCTTAATTTAGGGTTGGACTAAACTTCACCCTCGAAAAACCGACTTGCAGAGTGAGTGAGAGATGGGACATTATGATGCTAGTACGAGCAAAGTAAAAAAAAAAAAAAAAAAAAGAGCAAGTCATCAAAATTTCATGCCATGCAACAAAAAGGGCATTACCACATCATCATCAATACGGAAAATTCAATTTGAAATTGTGAGGATAAATGTTGAAATCAAACAACAACGATAGTCAAACCTTATCCCACTAAGTGGTGTCGGCTACATGGATCAATTCCGCCATAATGTTCTATCCAGAACCATGCTTGTAGTTGTATCCAAGTGTTAATCACAAGATCTTTCTTAATAACTTCTCTTATAGTTTTTCTAAGTCTTCTTCTACCTCTAATTGTTTGACTCATCTCCATCTGATCTACTTTCCTTATCGCATAATATGCAAGTTTTCTCCCTTCATGTCCTAACTACCTAAGTTTATTTTCCACTGTCTTTTCTACTATAGGATAAATGTTGAAATCGAGGGACAAAAATCAAATTAGTGAAAGTATGAGAGCGAATACAGATAATTTCCAATTATAGTTACATACTTACACCGGCATGTATCCTCCATTAAAAGAGAGACCATCTCTCACAATCTTTTCTATATAAATCATCATGAATTTCAGTTTCAAGTTGATATTTGATGCTACAAGGTTGGTATTTCAATGTTTTCAAAAACAATGAATTCTAAAATCTCAAGAACCACCCTACCACAAACAAGATAATCCATTTGTGCTAACTCAACAAAAACTAATAGACAATTAAAACATCTGCATCTACAAGCAAATCACAAGAACATGAAAAAGATACACCAAGTCAACCGAAAATCAACAAGTAAAACAACAATGATTTAACTAAAGTTGAAATCCCAAATCAAGATCAAGACAAAACAGTACATACCCAGTTAAAAAAATCACAACTTTAACAAAAAGAAGCTTACAGAGAAGGGGTTAACTTCTTCTTCAGCAAAGGGGTTGCTTTCATAGCGACCAGCCATGAGATCTATGAAGTCAAATCAAATGGGTAACCAAAAAAATTGAAACTTGTAATAGAAACAAGAAGGAAACGGAAAGGTAAAGATACAAAAGAATTGTGTTTGGTCAGCATAACATACAAGTCATCTATCTACCTTATGGTCTACGGATATGAACAAAATTTATATGTAAAAACGCGTATTTCAAATACAAAATAATTTTATTTCTTTTTGTTCATAATTTCACATTTATATTAAAACTAATAACGCACTTTTCATCCT